ATGTGAAGGAAAGGAAAGGGAGTCCGGATTCTGTGTGGGCAACGTGGTCTTTATTCACTCAGGTGGCCAGGAGGCTGAGCTCAAAGAAGAAGTCAGCATGTGGTTAAGGTGGATGGAAATATAAGTGTTGGGGGTGGGGTTGGTACACTCATTTCTGAGTCCCTGCGCTCAGCAATATCAGTGTCTTTCCATTTACTTAGGTTTTTCTAAATTTTTCAGAAATGCTTTGTGGTTTGGGGTATATAAGTCGTCTTCTTCCTTGGTTAATTTTATTCCCAAGTATTTTATTCTTTTTTTTTTTTTTTAGGACATACTCTCATTGTTGCCCTTGGTAGAAGTGCTGTGGCAAAGCTCACAGCCACCTCCAACTCCTGGGCTTTAGTGATTCTCTTGCCTCAGCCTCCCAAGTAGCTGGGACTACAGGTGCCCGCCACAGTGCTCAGCTATTTTTAGAGATAGGGTCTTGCTGCCGCTCAGGTTGGTCTTGTACTAGTTGAGCTCAGGCAATCCACCAGCCTCAGCCTCCCAGAGTGTTGGGATTACAGGTGCCCAGCCATATTTTATTCTCTTTGGTTATATTATATATAAAATTATTCCATGTCCATTTCAAATTGTTCATTGCTGGTGTGTAAACTGACTTTTTCATTTTTTGATAAACTTTTTTACTTTTAACTTTAAATTGTTTTTGAGACAGACTCTCACTGTTTTCCAGGCCAGAGTGCTGTGCATCAGCCTAGCTCACAGCAACCTCAGATTTCTGGGGTCAAGTTATCCTCCTGCCTCAGCCTCCTGAGTTGCTGGGATATAGGTGCCCACCACAACATCCAGCTAGTTTTCCTATTTCTAGTAGAGATGGGGTCTTGCTTTTGCTCAGGCTCCTTTTTGTAAAGAGACTGCATCTCACTCTGTCACCCAGGCTGGAGTGCAGTGGAGCAATGGTTAACTCACTGGGCCCAAGTGATTCTCCTGCTCAGCCTCTCCAGTTTCTGGAGCTACAGGTGTGCACCACCACACCCAGGTAATTCTTAAGGTTTTGTGCAGACAGGTCTCACTATGTTGCCCAGGCTGGCCTCAAATTTGTGGCCTCATGGGATCCTCCTGCCTTCACTTTCCAAGTGTTGGGATGGCAGTTGTGAGCTATTGTGCCTGGCCAGATTTTGTATTTTAGAGCAGTTTCTCATCTTATCAGAAAAATTAAGTGGAAGGTACACAGACCTTCCTCTTTCCTGCCTTCCCAACTATCAACATGGCACACAAAGGTGTATGTCATTAACACTTGTAAACTGACACATAATCACCAAAGTCCAGTGGGAGCTGTGTCCCATAGGCATGGAGAGAGCAGCTTATGCATCTCCACTGCCCTGATCTGCATGCTGCTCGCCCCACGCCCCCCCCACCCCGACCCTGACGCCACTGCCCTTCTTACTGCATCTAGTCTTATTTTTCCCAAATCCCATAGTTGGAACCATACATTGTGGAGTCTTCTCAGCTTGGCTTCTTTCTTTTACTAGTATATATTTAAGTTACTTCTACTTTTTTTTTTCTTTTTTTAGACAGTCTCACTCTGTTATCCAGGCTACAGTGCCTTAGCTGAACTCAGAGCAACCTCAAGCTCCCAAGTTCAAGTGATCCTCCTGTCTCAAAGTCCCAAGTAGCTAATTTTTCTATTTTTAGTAGACAGGGTCTGGCTCTTGCTTAGGCTGGTCTCCTGAGCTCAAGGGGAACCGCCTGTAATGTGGCCTTCAGAGTGCTGGGATTACAGGTATGAGCAACCATGCCTAGCCTGTCAGGTTACTTTTAGTAAGGAAAAGCAGAGTTTAAAAGTGGTGTCACTGTGATCAAAGTTCTATAATTTAGAACAAAAACTACAGCTAATTTAAGCCCAGAAAAATATGCCAGGGCTTTCTGGCTTCTCCACACCACCACCCCCAGATCTGAGGGCTAGCCCCGCCCTGGCCAAGATTGAACCCTAAAAGGAACAGTAAAGAATTCACCCAAGGTCTGTGTGTGGATGGGAGGGCAAAGGGTGGGGCAGGGGGAGCTGACAGGGCTCAAGGACTCTCCCAGGGCTGCTGGTTCTCCAGGCACACAGGGACCCTCATCAGCACCCCAGCCTTCTGATGGGCAGGTGGGCCCCGCTCTTTGAGGGTGGTCTTTTTTGCAGCTACCAGTGCTCTGCCCTTAGGGGTGGGAATGCAGGAATCGAGACGATCTCACCCTCAGCTGAGTCAAGATTTAGCTTTTGCACCTTCATTCCCAACAACCCTAGCAGCACCTGGGCTTCACCTTCTGCCCTCCCCCCTGAGGAACAGGTGAGCAGTGTGGCAGCCTGGCCTCTGCAGGCACGTACTGGGTTTCAAACTTCTCCACTTGCCCAGTTGCCTTCCCGTCAGAGTCCCCAGGAGACCTGACAGCAGGGCAGCACTTGCCTTCACTTATGGACCCCCCCAGGGCAGGTGGCAGGGGCCCTGTCCACTGAGCGAGAGCTGGCCAGGGTCAGAGGTCTCTCCAGGGCTGCTATGCTCAGGCCCCCTGGAGGCAAGTTCACTCTGCCCTTCATGCTTGACCCCCCAGATCTTGGCTCTGCCCTGGCCCTCGTCTGCCTGGCACCCAGAGTGGGGGCTGAGATGACAGACAGGTGGAATGGGCTTGAAGTTGTGTAGCCTCATTGCCTCACTGAACGAAGTGGTAGCTTTAAGGGCAAGAAGAGGGAAAAATACGTTCCACGTTTAGGCCAGGTGCAGTGGTTCATGCCTATATCCTAGCACTCTCGGAGGCCGATGTGAGTAGATTGCCTGAGCTCATGAGTTCGAGACCAGCCTTAGCCAGAGCAAAACTCTGCCTCTAAAAATAGCCAGGTGTTGGGTGAGCACCTGTAGTCCCAGCTACTCGGGAAGCTGAGGCAAGAGAATCGCCTGAGCCCAAGAGTTTGAGGTTGCTATGAACTGTCGATGCCACAGCATTCTACTTAGGGTGAGAAAGTGAGACACTGTCTCAAATTAAAAAAAAAGAAAATTATTAATTTTTTCTCAGTTGCCCTGGGTAGAGTGCTGTGATGTCATCACAGCAACCTCAAACTCTTGGGCTCTAGAGATTCTCTTGCCTTAGCCTCTTGAGTAGCTGACATGACAGGCGCCCGCCACAACATCTGGATACTTTTTCTATTTTTAGTAGAGATGGAGGCTCATTCTTGTTCAGGCTGTATGTTCCAAATTTTAAAGCTAATAATTTGTGAGAAAAACATTGAAGACACTTGCATTTTTAAGTGGGGTGACACCTATGGGAGGATGGCTGCCCCAGGACCGCATGTACATGAGCATTTTAATTAATTTATTTATTTCTTTACACATAACTGAAAGTGATGTTACAGTACATAAGTTATTTACAACTGTGCAGTAATGTGTTGCAAAATAAATTATCTAGAAGGCAGCAAAAGTACATTGTGAATGTATATAAAACTGTACAGCGTTCACGGATACACTTTTTATATGATTATTGGCTCTGTAGTGTTTCAAGTTATGTTCTCAGAAAGAGAAACAAAATGCCCAAGATTAAAGGAAAAAATATACAAACCACGAGGATTTGACTCCATTAAAAACACTATTGGAGCGTCCGGCTCTGTGTCCCTCTGTGGCCAGGAGGGG